CTTCATCAAAACGGTCTTTGCAGTAAAGAACCACTGCTGGGTATGTGTATCAGGTTTATATGGTCTGTTGTAGCAACCGTGACTGTTGCTAAGGAAATGCAGTCTTAGAATATGTAATTAGGTCAGATTACACAGGGCTGCATGTGGAGAGAACAAATAAATCGATGATGTAAGATGCTGAGTAATGTTTTCTACAAAAATACCATATTGCAGTTTTATGTAACTAAGCATTTATTTCATTCATCTTAATTGTATCCACATAGCAATATGGAAGTTACTTGCTCTTAAATTATCAGACCTTCATCATTACCATGGCAACCATATATGGAAGAAAATTCTCAAATATAATGTATAGTCATTTATCATTTGTAATCGTTTTTTCAAGATTTGTCAATGTAGCAATTAATAGTGTATGTTTTATGTTTGATAGTGACAAACTATAAATAAACCTGTAAACCAGTCAAATGTCTAGGCTGATTTCAGTAACAATTATTTTACTAATTCTTAGTTTCTTTCATAACAACTGCTAGTACATAAACATTTTCATTTCAGTTTAGTTAGCAAGCCACACGGCCAAGCCATGCCATGCATGTCTTGTAGATGATTCAAACACTGATAAATTGTGACTTATGTATAGATCTACTCAGACAATTCAGAAAAAAACACATCAGCTTTTCTCTCAATCTCATCTTTTCAGTGTCAATGTCAATATACAACACTTTTGTAAGAATTTATAATTAAAAATACAAATATAATCAAGTTTTTAACATAAGTAAATTTTTTTTAAATATTTTAACAGTAAAATAAGACATAACTGGAATCAGTATTTATAGCGTTCACCAGTTGTGTGTGTTGGAACCAGACTATTGTTTCTCTGTAATACCTACGGTACGGTAATATCCTGACAATGCGAACCAAATCCTGCTATGGAACACGCTCATCCAGGAGTATAAATGTTGCCTTTTTGATTTTCTCTCCATGGCAACAACTATTATGATTTCTCATATAACATATATAAGATTAGAAACATTTATCATGGCAAAGCTCCTCAAACAAATCCTGTGATGTGCTTTGGGTCTAATTTTGATTTGAGATATTTGCGAATACCGTAATTGTTTTATTTGTTATATAACACATACTAATTCACACCTATATGGCTTTGAACAAAATTTATCCGATATTTTAACTTGACAGAGATTGAAATTAGGCAACCAACTGTAAAGGCAAGTCTATGGTCAAAATAAGACATATTTTAATGATTTTGCATGCAATTAACACAATTTTTGATTTATATGTATTGAAGATATGCTTCTAATATACTGTAGAATACTTTATTTTCACTTAGAATTTGTTTTCGCTATTTTCGCTGAAGGGATGATTCCGTGAAAATAAAATCCAGCGAATATAATTTTTTTCCTATATTTCACATTAAACTCAAAAATCAGTAAAAATAAATTCCATACAAAACGCCTAAAAAGCCTTTTCAGTGAAAATTAATTCCAGCGAAAATAAAGTATTCCACAGTAGTTAATACTGTAATTCTACTTCATGGCTCTACCTTAATTAGCACACATGAGTTTTTTCTAAGCTTTCTTTGATCTGTCTGGCAACTGCAGTCAACTATAATCATTTCTTTTCAAATTTGCTACACATCCGGCCAGAAGCATGCATGTCAAGCCTTCTACATTCCAATCTATTGTTCAAAGCATGCTAGCCCCAAAGGTATTTAAATTGGGAGCCAAGCCAAGAATCATAAGTACACACTGTATGTTTACGTACATTCACAGTCACTGATGATGGACTGTGGTACATTGTTAGCGATCATGTAATGAATTAACATATTATTTTTAGAGCTAACTTGTGACAAAGTAATCTCACCCTTTGCAATAACATATATATAGCAGCTTAAGGGGTTTCAATAGTGCTATTATGGGTGATAAAGCAGAGAATTATGTGTATCATTGAAGGTAATCGTAGAGGGGAGAAGACGATATTGTTCTCCCTTGTTCCATGATCTCTTTGATTTATTTACTTGGTAAACATTCTCGTAATTTGATTATGTGAATAATTAGCCTTCAAGTCAGCTTGGAAACAGTCTGAGATACTGATAACAAAATCCTACAACTTGACCAAATCACAGATCCTTATAAAATATATTCGCAGTCTTCATGTTAGAAATTGTACCCAATTACAAGTTTCAATGACCCTACCATGGTCTTACATGTAGCATCATATTTCACACATGCAACGTTTCAAAACTCAGATTGTCATGGATAGTCTGGAAACAAAATGGTGAAACTATTGTGTAAAATCACATCACACATCATCACATGTTTTTTTTTTTCAAACTGAAACAGTTTTCTACAGGAATGAAGCAGTCTTTCATCTACTCATGCTGGAAAACAACTAATATGTCGTTTCCAGTACAAGCAGTGGTCGAGATTATTTTTTCATTTCCAAAACTTGTTGCAAGTTCAATCTTTTTGTTGAGTAAATAAGTGTAAGTGAAGACAATTTGAAAACAAAACATAGACGATGGCGATAAGGCATGAAATAAAAGATCTGGATTAAAACTCCCTTCTCCTAGATTACCGGTACCTTCCATAATGTTTTCGACACAAAACCTACAGCCATACAATAACACACAATTTTGTAGATGGCTGCCATGTTTGTTTTAAAAACCCAGACATTTTTTCAAA